GCGACGGCGGTGGCGACGGCGGTGTTGTTTGCAATAATGATTTCTTGCCGTTCTTGTCTGTGCAGGATTTGATACATCCTTGCCAGGGCAGTGATGATGTGTTTTTATCCAAGCCGCCGGGACTTGAAGACCTTGCGGAAGGCTGCGATTCCACAGTTGAACGGTCCACGGTATTAGCTGCCTGTAATTCGCACCTGTTGTGGGTGTTGGATGAGCACAACATGGCCTTGAATTCCAGGCCACGAGATGCCTGCCGACTTCTGGAGCCGAGCAACCACAGCAGGCAGGGATGTCAGATCATGTTACAAAAAGCTCCCCCCTCATGCCAACTTCGAAGCATCTCGTGCACCTTGCGCCCGCAGAAGGTACAGTAACATTTGATCCCGAGTGCAGCTCCACCGACACATTGGCAACAGAGATGGCGGCCATTTTGGACATGATCCAGACAGGCATTGAATTCGAATGCACCTTACAATTAATTGTGTTGAAACGGTATTGCTTGCCAGCCGTCAGAGGCGGGGCTTTTGCGAAGCTTGTCTTGGCGCGTTGCAGAAGATCCCCTGTTGTCAGGACAATGTGTTGCCCCATGGCTCGAGGTGCCTAAGCCAAGGACTTTGGGAGAAAGAGAAGGGCAGCATCTTGAGTATATAGCATATAGAGGACGTCTGGCTCAGGACCGATGCCCCGCGTTTCCAACCTCCGAGCACAAATCTAAGCAACATTTGCAAAGTTTCAAGCACGTGCTGATGGACATGTCATATGCGTGAGAGATGCGATTGTGCTGTGTGTGCGCATGCAAATTGAGCTGAGGTGCCACCTCAATGCCGGAAGTGCGGGGATCACCATACTGGCTTGGTCCAGGTCACCATTTGTCTTGAAAGTTTCAGAGCTTGTCCTTGCCTGCTTGTGGATTGCGAGAGGCAGCTTCCTTTCGGGCATCATGCCACCACAGGCTCACAACTTTTGTGCCTCAGCTGTTCATGTGATGGGCAGCAACATCTCTAGCCAACTCTGGCCTCTAGCAGTCGCAGTGAGAGCATACTCCACGCCGACAAGAGGTCCATGGTGTGGATCGACGCGTGTTTGCTTCCATCGCTTTTGCCCGCAGTGCGGCGCCAGGTTCTTACACAGGAATGCGCATGCCACGGGTTCAGTCAGTGGGAGATGCGAGAGGGCTTCGTATGTTTTCTTGCGTGTTTGCTAGGTCTTGTACCCTGACTTGACGAACCTATGCAGCGACACCAATGGAATGGCTGGATCGCAATACTGAAGCTCAATTCAGGTGAAATTTTTCCGCAGTCAGCCAGGCAGCGTTGAGAGCGCAATCCTCTCAACAAGCTATTGCCGTTTAGGTTTGAAGGCTGCCTGAATTGCTATGGTCAGTGTTGTGTGGCCATCCTAGTTTTGTATCAAGAAGGTGTAACATGGCAGGAATACTGGTCTTTTGCCTCCTCCCTTAGGTTGGCCTCCGAGGAGTGGTACAGACCCACAGTGAACTGACATTTGCGTGCTGCATGGGCGCTGCCTTGAGATGGCTACTGCTTCAATCTGCTAAAGTTGCTCTGGCTGGTATTAGGAGGATAGAGCTGTTGGAGACTGTTGCAAGCATCTTCGCTTGTGAAGCAAAGTGGCCATCTAACTGAGTCAGTCTGGGTGACATATGTGAATAACAAAGTTTGCAGATGCAGCGCATTCAAAGTTTGCTTTGACGCTGCATAACTGGACTTTCTTTGCAACCTTTCTGTGCACTCCTATTGTGTGGTAAATCTTGGACGGAGTCAGGAGCACATATGTTTCATGGACCGCAAATGACATCCATGCGATGGAGTGTTCCCAGGAAGGTTCCGTATTTGAAAGAGCGAGCACTAGTGCACAATCTGGCACAGCCGACTGCGCAGAATAGTGTTCGGGCTCCTAGCCCAACAGTTGAGCTGCTGCTAGGCCGCCCAGGTGCTTGCCAAGCGCCTCTCCGAAACCGAAACTTGGGACCAGGTCTTTGTAGGGCCTGGTGTCTGAGTTTCCACGCTTCCAGCACAGGGTTTGGTGTCCCCTTTAGGTTTTGTCAGCCTTTTGGCGTCTCTCTGCAAGGTGGTGAACCTCAGATTGCCATGGAGGACAACAACCCCTGTGACTTTTGCATGCACTATATTTTATAAAAATTAGAAGCGATGTAGACGACGTCGCGGCGCTCACTTTGCGTGAGCAAACTTTGGGACCCGGAGGATGGAACAGAAATCTGGTCGCATGCTTGAACAGTAATCCCCTTCTCCCCATTACTAAAAGATCCGCTTGCTAATACTCCGCACTAGAATACTTCCTAACGTCGGCAAGTGAAGTATTTGTTGTGGGGGAGGGGACTCGCCATGACAACTCAAGCATGGAGCAATGGTACGCTGCTGTTCGCTGTGAGCAGTGAGGGAAGACACCGTCAACAAGTATGATCAAACATGTCCTTTCGTGCGGTGTTTCCACAGCCGCGTTTGAGTCAGTTTACGTATAGGTGCGGAGAGTGTGCAGAAGAGCTGAGCTGTCACGGCAGTATATGGGCGCAAGCTTTGCAGAAAGAGTATTCAGCAGTCGCTCAAAGGCTACAACAACGAAGTTTTCTTGACATTCAAAAGATTTCATAGGGGCAGGCCGGCTGAAGTGTTTTACTGCACATTGCGAGGCAAGTCGTAGCAAACTAGCACATCCAAGGCATTTGGTAGCAGCGCAGCCATGACAGGCCACCTGCTTGATGCCAAATTCTGTCATTACAAGGAGCTGGTGATGGATCCGCTGGTGTCGTAGATTTGCCCATGGTCGGCAATGGGCCCCAAAGCAAAGTCCAAAGCCAAGGCCAAGGCCAAGGCCAAGGGCAAAGTCAAGGATCCCGACACAACACGCTTGACACGGCGTACATACCTGCGGAGCAAATTGCCAGCAGTGAGGCCAAATGGAGCTGTTCATTTGGACACGCTTCCGGTCATAGAGCCCAATGGGGCCGGCGATTCCATTGTGCAGACTGAAATCCGTGCTTGTTTTGGCGGCCACGTGTGTGATGTGTCTCAGCCAAAGATGCTGTGCGACATAGCGGGCCATGGCTTCCGTGCCAAGTTTGGAATCAAGGTGCCATATTCCATTTTGTCCGCATGCGTTCTTCCAATGCAAGGGGACATAGCAACAGCTGGAGAAGATGGCACGATTCGGGTTTGGGACCACGAAGGAACGCTGATGCAGGAGGTACTTGCTCATGAAGGCGGGGCGTTGTTTGTTGCGCCCTTCCCAAATGGCAAGTGCCTTCTCACAGGTGGCTGCGACGGGTTTGCCAGGGTCTGGAAGGTAGCCCCGAACAGCAAGATAGCTGTGTTTGTACAGGTGAACCACAGATTTGCAGTGGCTTCTGGCTGTGTCTATCCAAATCTCAGACAGATGATCACTTTAGGCTTGGATGGGGTCGCCAAAATTTGGCGCCTTGATGACGAGGAGTTCTTGGCAGAAGGTGGTTGTGGCTTGAGTGCGATGATCATCTCCCCCTATGGAGGCTGCATCCTCACTGCCAGCAGCATGGGGGCCATCGAGAAATTCTCAGATGATGGCCAGCTGCTGTGCCAATTTGCAGACGGCCACCATGGCTTGGTCAATGTCTTGATGTTGTTCCCCGACCAATCCAGGATTCTCACGGCTGGGGAGGATGGCGCGGCACTGATTTGGTATAGCTCTGGTGAGCTAGCAGTCGAGCTGGAGCCACTGGAAGATCCCGTGCTTTGTGCAGATATTTCCCCTTGTGGCAGCTGGATATTGACTGGCAGCAAGCAGGGGACTGCTCGCATTTCCGGTTCAGCAACTGGCAGAACTGTGTGCAGCTGGCAAGTTGGAGACGAGGCACCTGTGCCCTAGGTCGCAGCTTGAGATTGTTGCAGCAGAGTTTGGTTAAGTGGAATTCTTAGTCTTGCGGGGACATGTGCGCGCAATTTGTCGAGGCGCAGCCAGAGGAGGCGTCCAGCGTGCTGGAGGTGAGCGAGAGAGCGCAGCTGGACACCTGCAGTGTCCAGGCCGGGGTATGATGCTCGATTGACTTTGCTCAGGCAACAGCTGGGTTAAGTTAATCTCAAGTTATGCCTACTAGGGGAGCCATAGTAATTATCATGTATACCCATCATGGTAGCTTAACTTAAGTCAAGGAATTTAATAGCAGCCCAGACAATGGCCTCCAGGCTTGTTGCTTCTGCCTCTCAGAGCCGCGGTTCGTTCTGGCCGGGGCATTTGGACTACAAATCTGGGAGTTCATGGCAGTGCTTGACTGAGTGCGACTCACGAAGTCAGCATGATGTTTGCCGTCTGGCAGGGCAGTCCCCCTTGGGAATGCTTGGGCAACAACACACTGAAAAAGCTGCGGGCGCCGAAAGTTTCTCATGGATTTGCTCGGCGTGTCTAATGAGATCCGGGAAGGAGTTTCCTGCTTGATTGGCTGCTGTTTTGGTCCAGGCACTGTCAGGTAGCTTTTTTGTTTTTTGCATGGTCAATCACAGGATGCATTGGGTGCTGTCCAGCTCCGGCTTCCCAGCCAAGCAGCAGAAGACTTGCCCAACCCAACAAATCGCAGCACCAATTGTACAAGGCAACTGTGTGAGGTTTGTTGCAACGCTCCATTATCCTGTTGCCATGCCGGGCTTGCCGGCACATGATGCAGATTACGAGAATGCAACCGGCCTGGACACCGTGGCAGGGGGCTCAGAGCATGTTTGTATGCGATCTCATTCGAGGCACGTGGATTCCGCAAGAACTCTTGAAGGGCTGACACTCGCAGTCAATCGCTGAGGCTACACGAGCTCTGCAACAACTGCTGCTTGAGCCACTTGCCACGTACGCTTGGCTAGGAAAACATTGCTGGTCAATGTGTCCCCAAGCTTTGCTTGCAATGGTCCTCAGGCAGGAGACAAATCTGCTGGCTTCGTTCCAAGATCTCCTCAAGGAGCAGGAAGCCCGCATCAACTTGGCGATCTTGGCTCCTGGGCCTGGCTTGAGTGGCTGTATGTGGCTGTTTGATGCTGTTTGTACTGCAACCATTTTCCTGTGGTGCTGCTTGACATGATCCAGGCTGGGCTGGATCGTAAGATGGATGCCCTAGCCTCCGCCACCGCTCCCCGTGCAGCTTGGTACATGCTTCACTAGGCGGTTCGGGTCACAGGATGTTCGGTTACTTCTGACAGACTCAGGCAGCGACACGCAGGCGGGAACGCGCGTGATCTTGCGTTGATGGGGGCGGACTTGAAAGCTTGCATCACCAGTACAGATCCCACAGTCGTCCCGCACGTTTATGACTCTACCTCTTGCGGCTCATTCCTGTGTTCGAAGAGTGCCTTCAGTGTCATCTGCGAGGCTGTCAGCGCCGGGGAAAAAAGCCACCGCGCCCCCGGACGGACCTGAGACATGGGTGTCCCACATAAAAGCGGAGGAGGCGGGAAGCCAAGACGACTCGAAGGCTCCCTGTTGCATCTTTCTGCTCGATCACGGGGCCTTGAACCGAAGAGCAGACTTTGGACTCTTTCCCTTCCGCAGGTGGATGGCGCAGATCAGCCCCTTGGCAGCCTTCAGACTTGCTTGATGTAAGTAAGATGTAGGATCACAGACATCCGTTTCCCTAAGGAAGAGGACAGCATTCCAGAATCCTCGAAATCCTCTGAAGCGTTCCTTCACGAAGCAGTTCCATGTCGAGCTGCCATCAGCTGGTCAGCACCTGGGCTGTCACTACAACATACATTAGCTAAAGGAGGGGTGGGGCGCTGGTAAGCAAGGTCTGCTGCTGCTGCTGCTGCTGCTGTTATTGTTGCTTGCTCGTAGGAGGGCGAACAGCAACAAAGTACCCATGGCCATGCTCGGAATTTTGCTCTGGCTGAAGTGCTGGTGCGAGAGTCAACAGGCTTGCTATCAGAGCACAGCATGACCGGAGGAACTGTACTACTGCAGGCAACACAGGCATGATGGGACATGATTGCAAATTTGGGGAACTATCATTGTAGTAAGAACTTTCTGTAGGAGAAAGCAACGACAGCGCTCGGCTTGTCAAGTCAAGTTGCAGCAGGATCGTATGGCTTTCGGGCAATGCAGGTACATTGACAGTGACAAAGACAGCAACGGAGTGATGAGTTCAGGTAGTAGCCGCAGAGGTCAGAGAGACAAGGAAGGCCAATCAGATCAGTGTTGCACGCCTTCATGTCGAGCGCTGGGTGAACATTTGTTGAAAAGGTGTGGAAAGAAATTTTAAGCTTTGAATGGTGATCTTGAAGAGCCAATTGTCATCAATCAGCAATGCTATGTTCAAACATCTTCAAGCAACATGTCTTCATAAGACAGCTGAAAAGGAGCACGTCGCCGCAAGCGTCACTCAGGCACTCGCCTCCTCCCCTGCTCCGCCTCCCACACCTCCAACTAAAATTAGTACTACTGCTGCTACTACTACTACTACTATTATTATTGTTGTTATTCTTTTCATTGTCACTACCACTACTGCTGCTTTTGCTTCTGCTACTGGGCCTTGGACTGCTACTACTTCTACCAGAAGAGGCAAGAGCAGTCATCACCATCATGGCACAAGAGTTTATGTGAGCAGTGATCGCGCAAGAGCCCGCAGGAGCAACAGGAAACTTAAACCTATCGCTCCGATTTGAATTTAAAATCATGCCACACGTCCCAGATTGGACCTTCACAACAACAGAAGTCCCGAATCTGCTCAAGAAGAACTTTAGAAGGTAGATATTGAGGCTCACTCTTGTTTATGCTTGTTGTAGCAGTGGCAGAAGGAATTTCCAAGAAAGGTGCCTATGAACTTAAGTTATTGGTTTGTGCAGATGCTGGGGGGGGCAGGGGGGAACTCAGGGACATGCGACGGTGGTGGTATGGCGAAGAGCCTGTCTTGGAAACTGACACAAAGATGGAGGCCAAGGGTCCCATGGTGTACTGCTTGTTGTTCTCGTTTCTGACGTCCGACATCTTGGCAAAGCATCAAGTTTGGAAGGCGTTGGGCAAAAGAGCGAGGAGGTTCTTGGAATCTGCGACGTGCCTTGGCATTCCTCAATCGTCCTTATATACATCCTGCAGCAGAGAGCCACAAGGTTTGGGAAAATCCTGGCCACCCTGATTTTCCTGAACTGCTGCAGTTTAGGCAGCTTGACAGCATCCAGTCCACCAAAGTAAACATGTGCTTTGTGCTGCCATATGCAGCCGGTTGGTTGTGGGCCATGTCGAACCTGCAAGGTTGGCAGGTTGACTGGGGTGTGCAGAACTACTCCTTACAGGAGCCAGCTTCCGTGCAGCAGGGATCTGCATGGCTTTCTGTGTAGACCAACTGGAGTGCGGTAGATGAGTCTCATCCTCGGCAGCATCCCAGGTTCATTTTGAAGTTCTTGGTGTTGCTCGGCTTTCGTGAGATGAGCTGGTCCAGTGGCTGTGTGCTTTAGCTTCTTGCAACTCTGCACTCCTATCTTGCAATGCAAGGCACTGTTCACGCTTGTTTTCTTGGCCGAGTTTGGGTTCAGAGTCTTTGCTTATGGGTGGACCATGTACTTCTGCCAGAATCCAGAATCCTTGGCAGCATGTAGCAGCGTTTCCATCGGCAATCACACCCTTTGAGCCTTCTTTCCGCTAGTCTTTCCCGGCAGTGCCACATTTTTTCTCTGCCTAGCTCTGTGTTGCTGTGCATGAGTTGGTTATTGGTTAAGTACCAATGGGATCACATTTCAGATCTGTATACTTGTCATAAATACTCGTCACAAATACCCATTATTCACAATTGCCCTCAACCCTTGCAGAAAAGTTATATCCACGAACGGCAAGCATCGCCCCAAGACGAGGATATTGGTTGGAATGCTTTCGATGGGCTCCTGGTGCTAAGTTCGATTGTGGATGAGCCTTGATTGCCAGTTTGCATGGCAGGGACCTGATTTCAGCGAGAATCCTTGTAACAACAATCAACTGAGCTAAGCATGAGGAGAGTCTTACAACCTCTTGAACTGCAGCCTACAAGCACGTACATGACATGTACAGGCAAAGGGGGATATGAACAAGCCAAGGAGATAATGAGCCGCGCGGCTTCAGGAATCAACGTTACTGCGCTGCGGGTTCTTCGACTGGCGCGGTTACTTCGAATTCTTCGCTGCTCAGTCATTGAAAAAAACTTTGGCCCAGTCCACGGTAAGGGGGCGCTAAATTCCCATCTTCAAACACATTGGAACCCTGCTCTGAGGAGTGTTTCGCGTTGTTCGTTACTTCACCGATCTTCGAGTGATGGTCCAGGGCAGCTAGTCTGGCAGAGATACAGGTGGCTAGCCGGAAACAACCATCAGATTCAACCGAGGAATTCTTATCTCGTCGAAGACACTGGTATGGGCGCTTGCGCTTCTTTTTCTACTGATGCTACTTGACCTGATTTCCAGGAGGTCAGTCCGGGGCTTGGCGGTCTACATGACGGGCTGCATGGCAATGGACCTTCCCAAATCTCTGCAAACGCTGCGCGGCTTTTGTGAACCAGTGCTTCAATCGAATTCAGTTCGGAATCCGAGGTTTGCGGTTGCAGCCTGCATCCTGCAGCTCCCCCTCGGCAAAGATGCGCAGACGTTTCCTATTTTTGCTGCAGATATGACGTGTACTCCAATATAGGGGACTATACAGGGGAGTGTTCTAGGGGCTATTTAGGGTACTGGGACTTTAGACTATGGCTCATATGGTAACTTACTAAATAGGGGGACCCCAATATAGACCCCAAAATACTATAATCCTTATTATTGGAACACCCAAAATGGTACCCCTAATTTTGGGAAACTACCATATGATGCGGTAGAAGGGATTTGTGCCTCAACAAGGCTGCTCAGACCGTACTTGTCCTCACTGGACCCTGCAACAGAGACCCAGGCAGGGTGCCACCCCTCCCCAGACTCCCTTGGGTTTCCTCCTTACGTAGCCTTAATCAGTTTTAAAACCTTTCGTAAGAGGGAGCGAGTACAGGAGGATGATGGTGGGGGTGTTGATCAGTTTGGGATCAAAAGATGCAAGACCGGGGTACCATCACATTCATCATTTTCTTGCTATTCCTCTTCATTAGTGCTATGTTTTCCATTTTGACTCCTTGTGGTCCACCTGTCATTCACAAAAGTCTTTTGCTGTGCTTGGGGTCAGCACCTAGCCGAGAACATGCAGGTGACGGTTTCCTGCTGTGGTGCAGTTTGTCCGTAGCATGCCACAGGTGACAGGCTGTGCAAAAGGATGAAGTCCTGCAAGCCCAGTCTAGCTATGAATAATGTGTGAGTTCCGCGCGTATTTGAACTTGAGTTGGTCCTACAGGGTGAACGGGTGAACTGAATTTCGGCGATCCATGGAAAGCTTGCCGTGCACTCCACGACTGCTCGTGGAGGTTTCAGATTACAGATTTGCGGGCCCGAGAGTTTTTCAGCTTGCAGAGCCGCAATGAAAATCACACCGAGAGCAGCCAGGCATCTCGAGTCGCATCGGAGCGATGAAGAGATTCGAGCTGCTAAATTATTCAGAACCACTGAATTTCAGTTGTTCTGAATGGTTTCAGAAACCCTTCATAGCTGGTGGAGTTGTCACTATCATTAGCACTGCTCTCGTTGTTGGACAGTCCGCGGCCAGGAGCTTCTTCTGCATTTTGGATCCATGCCCCGTGCTCAGCATTCAGTTGCTCAGCAATCTTTTGCTATGCTAGAAGCGGCAGCGGTGGCAAAGAGTGTAGGATAGTATGATACAGTCAAGTAGTAGATCATTGATAGCAGCAGCGGCGGCAGTGGAGAATGAAGACACGCTTGGTTTTTGCTTCCTACCATATTCATTTGGTGACGCTCATTACCTCCGATTCCCCTCGACCTGATTAGGCTCACGCCTCACTTGCTCACTTGCTCACTCCCCCATTGACGTCCTGGATTAGGGCTGCACGTGCTTCTGAGCCCTCAACCCGGCATGTTACCTTGCGGTGCTGTCGTGGTCATGCAAACGACATAGCCCCATAACGTGTGTGTGTGTGTGTGTGTGTGTGTGCGTGCGCTCGAGTTGAGGCCTGGTGGAATTTTCACACTTTTTTCCTCGATGCCGGAGTCCCAGGAGACCCATTGTGCAGAGCAAAAGAACATGGTATAGAGGATTATACAGGGGTTAGATAGGGTTTAGGGATCATACGCCACTAGTGGAGAATCAACTGGCAAAAAGGAAAGGGAACATGAATCGGAAAGCGAGATTCTATAGGGTTAGGGTTTCCAAAAATTGGGGGCCTTTTCTGAGAAGTCCTGTTAACAAGGGCTTCAGTATACTGAGTCTAGATCGTGGAAATCTCCACATGGGAAGTGACTTAGGTCTGGTGGTGTGGACTGGGCAGATGTCGCAAGGAAGCTCAACGATGTGAGCACTCTTCTGGCGTTACTGTTTGTTGTGGCTTGGATTAGAGTTTAGGGTTCAGGGTTTAGGATCCCCAGCAAGCCTGTTGCAAAAGGGTTTAGGATTTACTCAAAACGGGTCTAGGTTGCGTGTGCAGAATGGTGGGCAAGGGATCCGACAGTGCAAGCGTGATGTGGATCATCTGGAGAGCTAAGGTATACATGGCCTTTGCTTTATTTTGCGTCCTCAATGCCGCGGCCTTAGTGCCTAAATGTGGCAGTTGGCAGTGCTTCTGCTGGTGCTGTACTATGACCCTGTCACTATCATGTACCCTAATGCGATCCTAATGTTGGGGATTGGAGTTACCAAGAACCTTTGATTAACTATGCTTGCCAGGTTTTTTCAGTGAGGGTCGCAACTGCTGCTGGCTGCACTGTACCCTTTGTTGTGTACAGTGAGTCCACAGGGTTGCCCTGTCCATTTGGGGGCTGCTGGCACCGGAACAAAATTAGTTAGTTCAGCTTGCAAGGTGATGACGGGCGTTTTTGTTGAGAATGCCAGCCGCATGACAGCAGCGGATGAGGAGTGCTCAACTTGCTTCATATCCTCCATTTGCGTCCAAACCCCACATCTTTGCCGTATACCCGTATAGGCTGCTTAGATATTGCCAGAAGCCGGCATTTCTGACATCTGCATAACTGATGGGCAGGGAAAACCCAAGTTACAGCTGGGTGTGTAGTTGCCACTACGGCCAACACTGGTGTTAGGTCATGCCTACCTAGCTCCCAAATCCTAAAGCCATATGTCATCCTAGGTTCCATCTTGTTTTCCATCTTGTTTTTGCATTGAATTCTCCTCTAAAACCAATGTATGCCTGCATATTTCCTTATATTATACCTTATACCCCATATGAACCCTAGTTTCCATACATCAGTCGTATTTGTTTTTGTATCCCTGTAAAACCTGGCCTGAGTACCAGGAGATGTGTATGATGGAGGAGCTCAGAGCACGGAAGGCTGGCAAAGGTGTAATCTGAGGGCTTTGGGATTCAGGGTTTAGGATTTAGTGTTTAGGATTCAGGGTTGAGGATTTAGGGCGCTGGAAGCCATGCAAATCCGAGATGCAGACAATTCCCGAAGCAAAGGTTGCGCGAGGAACCAAAATCCAAGGCACAGCCAAGTGTATGTAGGATTTAGGATGTATATAGGGTCTAGAGTAGGGTTTAGGATTCAGGCTTTAGGGTTTGGGGTTTAGGATTTATCGTTTAGAGTAGGGTTTAGGATTCAGCGTTTAGGATTCAGGGTTTAGGATTTAAGATTTAGGGCTTAGGGTTAGGGGTTTAGGGTTTAGGGTTCACACAGGGGAAAGAGGTACCCGCGTGGCTAAAAATGGATGTCGACTTTTTGCAGGTTGCGCAACGACCCCCCTCAATACTGCCCCACGAGGTTCCCCCGTAAGTAGGCTCGTCTAGGGACAACTAAGGCTAAATTGGCAGCAATTTTGGGGGAGTGTCAAGGATAACTCAAAAACAGAAGTACCGTTTAGGCTTTCCAACAATCAGGGAAATTATATTAATGACTGGGAAGCAGATTGAAGAGAGAAGGGATGATGAAGTAGAAGCTGTGTTTGCATGATGGTGAATAGGCTCTCGGCATCAGGGCTTTCTTACCGCTCAGTATTCGATATGCTTTGTTTATGGATTTTATGGGGTTTCCAAAATGAGGAAATTGATAAGTAGGTTTCCATCAGGTGGATATGTAACGAATAATGAATGAGGTATGCTTTCCTTGTACTGCCAATTGGTCGTAAGCTCCCTAACAGTATTCCAGTAGTTTATGCGCCTGCACTACAGCAGCAGAATTCTGCCAATCATCTAGTAGCGTTTACTAGAGTATCTTGTGTAGTACAAGTAGCTGATATCAAGCAATGCGTTGCCCTGTTCGTTTAAAGTACAGGAGCAGACGTGCCGCAGATGTGAAGCAGATGTGCCATGGCAGGAATACGTGGATACCGTTAGTCGTCTCTTTGCAGAGTGTGACAAAGACAACTCCGGCTCCTGGGCAAAACTGTTCGATAACATGTTGGCATTTATGGGTTGAGTATGGGTTGCTGGCATCCTTTGCCAAACCATGACCCCTGTCACAGGCAACGTGAACTGGGAGGACTGACAGCGAAGCGCATTCCTCTGACATATGAGATGTGTGTGTGTGTGTGTTTTTCTGTTTTTTTGATGTTTTCTTGGGCTCAAGTACAAGCAAACAACGTGTAGCAGGCACAGGTGTGACGACCCTTGGGGCCGAGATGGCCAGCGCCTTGCCTGCAGGATGTGTTCAGGGTCCCACCGGCTACTCTGCTGGATCTCTTCTTACACCTCGCAGCCTCACGCCAAAGATGTCGATGGCTGCAGCCCCAGTGGTCATTCGAAGGCAAGCCAGCCCGTGCACTCCTCGAGACCGTGGCACGCATCCCCCTACAGCGTACGTGCCTTGGCCGGTTCGCCCTTCGCCGGCGAGAAGCTCATCAGCACCCCGCATTTGTCCTGGAAGCCTTTCTTCTGCGACACTGACGCGAGATGAAGGTTCGGTCTCGGCTCCAATCTATGCAGCAGTTGCAGGTCCTGTGTCGTTGGCCCCGCGGCTTCGACACATAAGCACTGCCAGGTCTGGGCAGTTCATTCCTTGTGGACCCGAGGAGCATCGCGTTCTCCGTGGAATGGTGCCGCCTTTGGAAGGGCTGGATGCACCAGGAGCCGATCCTGCAAAATCCTCGACCTCCCGCGGGGAGGACAAAGCTCCTCCAGAATCTTCTCTTTTGGCAAGGATGCAGCAGGCTCTGGCCGAGCAGCGGGCCGAGCACGAAGTTAAGCTGGCGCAGCTGCAGGCAAACTGGGAACAGCGCTTCGCAGAAGCTGTGTCCTTTTGGCACAGAGCCTGGTCAACCACGACAGCTGTTGTGAAAGACTGCAACCATCATTGCGTAAAACTTAGCGAGGTGTTGGAAGCATCTTTGGACGAACTCGGTCAAAACAGCATCCAGGTCATGTCCCTAGCCTCCCGCATGAAAATTCTGGAGGAGACCGTGGGCCTGTCAAACAAGTCACTTGAGCCCACTCAGCATCCCCAAGAAAGTAGTCAAGAAGAGCCCCCCAAGGCAAGGGAATCTCCAATGGCCGCCTTTTGCCTGGGGGGTCTCAGCGGGACTAGTGATAGCTTCAAGCGATTGTCAAACGAGCTAGCGCGCTTCGAGCACGAGGTTTCTGCGCATTCTCAGCAGCTGTTATCCTTTTCGCCAATGAAGCCCATGCAAATGGAAGAGAGTCCACCAGCGGCCGGTCAAGCTACATCCTTTTCAGACTGGCGCAGTGGAAAGTCTACCATTCATTCCTGCGCCATTGGCAAGCCACAGCCGCAGACGACCGCTGGAGCACTACCCCAAAGAGAAGAAGCTTCTCAAGCAGTAAAGAAGGACCATGGGGTTTCAGGCGCCGGGTTTGTCCCGAGACCGGTGGGTGAAGATGCTGAAGATGACCCGGACGTAGCAGAGGGTACGGCACCCACACGATTCCATCAGGTTCCATTTGCCATGAGCCCTGCAGGCCCAAAGCCCTAACAGGCCTTGCAGACTGGCTCTCCGCCAATGCCAAGCTGCCTGCAAAAAAGCATGGTCGGATGCAGTCCTACAGTTGCAGGCTTCCTATTGCTTTGACCATTCCTAAAGGCATATTGGCTGGCATACTTCAGCTCAATTGGCCATGAACTCGTTTTTTTGAATTATGTTGTCAAATAATTTTGTGACCCCCGACCCGCCCAGCTCGAAATCCAGGTATAAGCCTTGGGGTCAACTCGAAGCACAGCTCACGGCAGTCAAGCATGGAATCCCTGTGCAGTCGGGCCAAGTTGTGCAGTCGCCTGACATGACATTGATACCGTACTCCCTTTACTTAGTAAGTTCACATTCCTAGCAGCACTAGAAAAGGCAGCAAAGCCTGACTGCTGAGGTGCACATGCCTTGTGCTGAGCTTGGCTTTCTCTCGATTTGGCTCCAGGGTGCAGAGGCGTGGGCTGTTGTGCGCTCTAGAGAACAATGTAGAGGAGCTGCAGCACTGCCCAATGGTGGGAAGTAAGTCGAGTCGAAGATCGGTCTCGAGCAATGCCTCTGCCTCTTCCAAGGGTTCGAAGGGACATCGCCGCAAGCGGAAGGCACAGAGTGCACCCTCAACGCGGCAGCTGGGAAGACCAGTGGCACTGCCTTGCCATCAAACAGCTCCTCAGGCTTCAAGAAGTGCGCTGCTCAGTAGCGACCCAAAGATGAAGGTCTTGACAAAATTCGTACACAAGGTGGAGGCAGAGGCATCTGCGGTCAAGGAGCAAACGCCGCAAGTCTCTCTCATGGATGAAGCTGACAGCTTTGGTGATGAAGAGCCTAGCCGCTTTTCCGAGTGGGACTCTGGCTCCGACTTGTCCCCAGCAATGCTGGGTAGCCGCAGAGCCTCTGCAAGCAGTCGACGTGCCTCAGCTGCCTATGGCGGCTACAGTCGGCGAACCTCTGCCGCTGCAAGCAGCAGGAGGACATCAGCCGCAGTGGACAGTCGCCGGACATCTGCTTCCAGCTACCTGGGCCGGCGCCAGTCTGAGGAAACCAACTCCTCCCTGCCCAAGGCCGCGGTGCTGCAAACGACCTTTGAATCCATTGCGGAGCGGCAGCCCAGCTACGAAAAGCGGAGGGCCAGTTTCAGACCGGCTTCAGCCTCTGCTGTGCTGCAAAGGCCAGGCCCAAGGCCAGACCGTGAAATGGGAGTGGTGCAAGTTGAAGAGACGACACGCCAGTTGCTAGACGATGCACACAAGCACCAACAGCAAAAGGCCAAGCTTGCGATGAGCTTAGATGAGCAGCTGGGGCTGTGGATGGCAAAGCGGGACGACGATGTCAAGCAGGCCACTGCTGCTGCATACCAGGCCTCCAGATCTTGGAGATCAGAGCACGAAGCCTTGGAGGATAAACGAAAGCAATTCCACTTCTTCAACGTGAAAGGTGTGAAGGAGAATTTCCTCAATCGAGCGGGTCACTCCTTGCGAAAGCTCTTCGTGGATTTCGACTTGGCACACCAGTCAGGTGGTAAGGCAAGAACCGATGAGGCCAGATGCAAACATCTTGACGGTGTGTATGACTGGTATGAGAAGCACGCATCTCTGAAAAGCCAGCCCTTGGCTAAGCCGGAAGAGATAGCCAGACCTTCGCCTTGGATCGTCGTGAAGCATGGGGAAGCACCGCCCCCAGGCTCGCTGAGAAGACCGCGAAGTGCTGCAGCCACGTTTGCAGGCACAGGCGGTAGCTCATTTCATGCATCTCCTCCTATCATAGGCCGAGCACTCTCAGCTCCAAGCCTTTCGCCCTAGACATGTGCATGTGGATCAGCCAGCCGCTGTGCCGTCCCTTTTGCCTCGCGCCTTTCAAAGGAAGGATGCGATAGTGTGCAGAAAGCTGAGCACACAGAGTTTCACCCGGAGCCGCGGGGCAGATTGGACCAGGCCAAGCAATACACATCAAAAAGGCTTCTGATGACCTTCAGCCCGATGGACGAGTTCTTACTTCTTCTTTGCCTGGACGAGAGCCAGCAATGTGGCCTGCATGCGCGATTTCTAAAGTAACCGGATTTATGGGCCGGTTGCCTGATGCAGGAGTTTCAGGAATGTGCAGCAGACCTTCACTTCCAGACCTGCTTCAAGAAGCTTGGGCTCTCTGGCTGCATCAATGGAGTTTCAAGATGCCTCAGACAGGGCGACTGAGCGGAGGTCCTCAGCAGAATGCTGTTTCTGAATGGTGTGGCCTCTTTCCATACCATCCTTAGCAGGGTCCATCACCTGAAAGCTCCAAAGTGGACCAGCTGTCCCGTTTGGCATGAACCGTAAAAATAGCCAGTCCATTTCGAGCTTTCAATGAAGGGCTGCCTGGCTGCGCTGATAAGAGCTGTTGAAATGGGCCGCCCTGTCTCCACGCCTGTACTTACTTCAAGAATTGCCAAGGATAGCGATAGACACCGAAGCTGACCTCCGAAATGTTTTCCATATGTGGCTTGGATTCAAGAAAAATCGACTGCAATGGTGCTCCGGGCATAAGATGTACTTCTAGTTCCGATACTTTCTTCCGAGAACTGCTGCATGCCTGGCAAGGCTGGACTTTCAGAACAATGGAAGTGTATCGGTTGAGGACGCCGCTGCAAGGGACTATGACATTGGTGACCTGTCAAGGGCAGCACGGTACCAGAACATGCTTGCTTGCCATCGTGGCCTCCCTGGATTTGAAGGCTGTTCCAAGGTATACCGCTGAAGCGGCCCGAAGCCCTCCCCGAGAAAGCCCTGCAACGCTCTTGCCTGTCAGGAGTTTGCGATTGGCATCCAGATGTTCAGTGGGGGTGCAAAATCCATTGACGTGGCCAGGTACCAGAGCATGTTTTGTAGCTAGCTACTCATACCTGCAGGAGTAGATGAGTGATGTCGGTACAAGATCTGCAGCCAGGCTGATGTTTGAGATGAACACGATGAAAAAGTACATGGCGAATGTACATGAGGCCACGCCCCCAGAGCCTACGGTAGCAAGCAGCCAAGAGCAATGACATGTCCGAATTCATGAGAGAGGCCTTCACAAAAAAACTGTGCTTTTCAGACCCGTATCATGTGTGCTACCTCCGGCTAGCACGGGAGTCTTACGAGGGGCAAGACAGAGCAAGTCCCTGTTGGGCATTCGAGCGCAATTTGCGCAATGGCCCAGAAAAGAAGTGGTGAGCGTTAGCAAGTCAAACTTCACCCGACAGAATAAAAGGGAACTTTGAACTTCGACGGTTTGAAATTAAGGTACAAAGTGTGGGCCCGTAATGTTGGCCCTTGACCTTGAGGTCCTCAGATACCTAGTATACCTATGATTCCTATGATTCCATACTTGGAGGCGTTGGTTGGCCCGGTGGATGAGGATGACTATCCCGAGTTTCCCGGTGCACAGATGCGGCCCTCGCAGGCGGCAGTTGATTCCCCAGCTCCCGATGTGGCGGTTTGGATTTCCAAACATCTCAGATCGCCTAGAGTCCTAGAAGTCTATTTTTTGGGGGGGGTAAATGAAGGTAGCTCTTGTGTTGGGGAGTGCCCATGTTGTCCTGCACCTCTACCCTCCAAAGTTTCACGTGGCCTGCTTGCCAGGTGAGTGAGGAAAGCCTGCCCGCGGAGGACATAGGCGACCTCGCTCTGTGCTGTTTCCGCTTGGATTCGTTTGTTACTCTTGGCTGGCAAGTATGGGTGATGTGCTTGAAAAGCCCGAGGTGAAGAGATGCAGAAGTCCACCGAAGATGGCGGAGGCAGGTTCTTGAATTTTTCAGTGAGGGTGTAGGATCTCTGGAAGCAGTTGCCAAGACCCATCTCTTGGGTGCATGGGTGTTGACCAGGAATGCAGGGCGTTGTCCCAGCGGCTCGGCATCATTTCAGATCATTGTGCAGGAGAGTTTAGGGAGTTTAGGCAAGGCTGGCAGGCCATGGTAGAGGGTTTAGGCCCTTAGGGTTTAGGGTTTAGTAGGATTGCCCTGTGCCAGGTCCATGCTCCTATGAAGGCATGGTTAGATTGAAGGTCCAATCCTTCAGCTATCTGATTGGTGCATTGCCGATTGGGTGCAGTGGCCGCCCGACGATTGTTTTGAATTGCACGGTAGGCTGCTAATGCAGGTTACCGTGTCGTGCGCAAAACACAGAGTGTTCCATGTGGTTAAAAACCACAAGAAGCCCCGCAACTTTGGCTGCCTTCCCGGGCATGATTTGAATTTTGGGCCGACGCCTCTGAGTGAGACTTAGAAATCCGCCCGCCCCAGGATTGATATTTTTTTGTTGCTCTGAGGCTGGCTCAAGATGACTGTTGCGTTCCCAGTGGTCCCATACGCATTCGAACACCGAAGCTGTGGGAACAGAAGGTTTCACGCCGACTTCCGCCCAAGCGTGATGTCTGGCAAGCAGATTTTGAAGATGCACAGACAAAGCGCCCTGGGCTTTGTTTAGTAAGAGCTCGAGCCACTTTCTCCCTGGGAGTTGCGTGGACTCTCAATGGTGCGTAAAACAGGATGCGAGTTCATCAGCTCTGTCCTGCGCTTTGTCATGCTGGCTACAAAATGTTTCGTTGACATCGAGAGCTGTGCCAGCTTTTTCGAAATCAATCACGCCTAGGACATGCCGTATCATCATGCACAGCGTGCAGCATTATCTCAACGAGTTGGGATGCCGCAGGTAGACAAGCAAACTCACAAGAGCGGCTACCAGAATCCAGTCTGGCCAGTTTGGTTTTGCTTCATGTAGCTGACGACGTAGCTGTTACAGCTTCTGAATTCTAAAGTTCTGACTCTGTTTGTACTAGCAGGAAAAGTGTTCTAAACACCGGAGGAAGATCTGATGCCCAAAGGTTGGCTTCAGACAGCAGATGCTCGGTCCCAAAGACCAGTTCTTGACATATGGGACTATGGCCCTTTATGGGTGCTAAACACGAGGGGCTATGTTCTACTAGGGGTCCCCAAAAAGGGCCATAATCTGACAACCTACCACATGGTGGCTTCTGGCATGGTAGCGTGTCAGAGCCCTAAATCCTAAACCCGAGGTCTCAGCGCTCTTCAATGCGAGCTACGGCGGTGAGCATGGTGTCGCTGACGCGGGTCAGTTTCTGTTCCCGCACAAGGAGATGGGGTTCTCAGTATTGTAGTGACTTTTAAGGAAAGCGGAACCGACTAAAGGGCATACTTCCCTAGTAACAGGCAATTAGAAGCTAGAAGGAGATGGGGCTCAGCGACAAGCCGCTAGCCCAACGGGCAGGTCAGAAAATGTCCGAAAGGGAGAGTCTGAGTACTGTCCGGGCCTAAATAATTATCAATGTTCTGTCCTAGATTCTCATTTCCATGGACAGTGTTGTGATGCATGACCATACAATGTATCAGCTTTCCTGTGCCCGGTTCAGCAGTACTCTACAGTTGATATCTGCGGCTAACACTGCTTCGGCTGCTGTGAGCCCGCAGCGTTTAGAGAAAGAGAGAGAGAGTTTCAGAAAAGCAGAGGCCAGAGTTGAGCACCTCGGCACAAAAATGATCCTGGATTCCCTGTGTGATCATGTTTTCATGAGGATATGGGTCATGAATTACGCCCCGATCCTATTAAAGTGCTGTGAGAGGAGCTGTGTATTGTGCAGCAAACGGGCCGATCGACGCGCACAGCGGTTTGAGACTTGGAAATGACGCTGGTGGAGAGGTAGTTCACGCATTAGGGATAGTGCCCCGCGGTAATGGAGAATGAAATGGCAAAGAACATGGAACCTGAGATGGAACTACAATTTAGGGTTTAAGTTTAGGGGTCAGGGATTTGAGGCATGACAGATGGATTTTTCAAGGAATGTAGATAATCTAACTGAAATCACCTGCCTGGATAGATAGACTTCATGGCTTGTTGCTCCTTCCTCGTAAAATACTGCAACAGATGAACGCAAATCTGGCATTGGAGTGTTTTTATGAGGGGAAGGAGTCTCATATTGTGCAGATTGGTGATGGTTGCATGCCTTCGTAAGCATATAATCCCCTATATAACCCCCCTTGAAGGCCGACCCTCAAATATCATCCCTTATGTAACCCCCTGCTGAGGTCGCCACATGTTTCAGTGCCCAAGAGCAGGCAGGAGCTCCGATATTATTGGAATTCGTTCTGTCTGGAATGGTTGGTCGTAACCAAATCTGGAACCGTCGCATAATCTACTTTCATGTACTTTAATGTACCACGGGATATATAGAGGATATTAGAGGAAATATATCGGATCTAGGGGTTTGGGGTTTCGTAACCAAATCCGGAAAATTGTCCTGAAGTGTTGCAAGGTAGACACGAAAGAGAAGGACGCTGACGCGCTTGCGCGGGAGGTGATGACCTGGGTCTTGTGCTTCAGTAGCAGTTATACAACAGGCATACCGCATAGAACTATAGGGATACCACATTAAACCAAAGGTATATTACTTTAAACCATCGGGATACAACGTCACACAACAGGGATAGTACATGCCGGATAGTAGAGTAAGATTCTACTTCAGTGGCTTAGAGCCTCAACTTTCATGAATCAAACCCTTGCATTCACGCACTTCTGACGGGGCAATATGTGCCACTGTTGTGCCAGGAGCAGAACTTGCCCAAGAACGCAATACCTTCCAGCACCAAGACAGATATGGTTGAGTTTTCTCGGCCTGTAAAGCCTTGTGCATGCTGAAGCTGACTTTGAGGAAAGGATTGCCCGGAGATCCTTTGCGAGAAGTGCCCTGAGAGCTGTGCTAAGCTGCAACAAAGCAAAGCTGTGTGTGTAGAAGTTTAAAATTGCAAGCAGGAGGCCAACAAGTGCTTGAAGCAGAGGTGTCCATCATGTCCCATTTGCCCGTCCTGCCCGCATGGTCCGGTGCTCTGTGAGATATGTTGGAGTTTGCACCCTCTTCTGAGATCCGAGCTGTGACTGCCTTGTGCTGCAAATCACCTGCACGACACCAAGGTTACAGGCACCAGGAGCCAGGCAGGGAGAAGCCTTTTCCCAGTGCTTCCTCCCTGAACTCCCCTAAGAACTCGCCACGATGAGCAGGTGAGCCTCCACCAGTCGAGGGGAAGAGCCTTGGACGGCTTTAGTTGTCATCTTTGCATAAGCAGGGTCCGTCCTGAGCAGACCTTGGACAGATGTGTACAGTCATGCAATGCGAGGATCGTGTGCAACCGCATGGAAAACAACTGTCCGTTCTGCGCCGCTCTAAGTGATCCAACGACGTAGTGAGGAGGGAGGTTCACTCACGGCCATGCAGGTCCGGCGTGCCAGTGCCCAGAGTGCCCCAAGAAGTGCCAGCCATGCCTGAAGAGGTGCAAGTGTAGACTTCATTGTGGGATGAGGTTGTTGGCGTCGTATATGGTCATGGATCCAGCCTGTTCTTCACATCCTCAGACCGTGCTGACTTGAGTGCTGATGTTCGTGACTGCGTTGCCTGCTCCTGCGTGGTTCCTGTGTTCGAGCAATCCCGCTGCCCACACAACATGCGACGGTACCGACTCTTGGTACTTGGGTCTTTGTGCCTGGAATGCAGCCCGTTCCTTGCTGCCATGTGCCATCTGCCTGGCTGCTTGGGGCATGCACCCAGGTCAAGCAGCTGGCTCTTCACACGCAGAGATCCTGGTGTGCGAGAAATGCATGGCAGAGCTAATGGTATTGAGCGAAGCTCTCAAAGGGCTGCCGAGGATGGCTTTGGGATGTTGCCTGGGCTGACACCTCTAAGCCCAAGCGACATCGAGTGTGTAACAAGGCGGCAGCTGCTGCTTCCTCCAGGCAGTGCTTGGGAGCTTGAGCAGGGAAGCCTCAAGGCCGGGCACCGTTGCAGGCATGGCTGGCCGCAGGTGCTTGTGATGGACCCGCTGAGAGCTTCAGCCAAGATTGGCGACATGATGCGTCTGACGTGCCCACTCCTGGTGGCAGCTATTGATGACTACGAGCTTACTGCAATCCAACGCTACAATGCACGGCTGAAGTGCGATGAGAAATGGCAGTCTCAGATGCTGGCTACAAACGAGGCGCACAAATCCTTGCGCAAGGCGTTTTTGCGCGAGCGAAGCGAAGAAATGGCTGAAGCTCGGCGCGTCATGGGAAATCAGACTGTTGATGTGATTATGTCCTCAGGCATTTCCAACATGAGATTTTGCACTAACTCCAGCGATGTAAAATGCTTGCATGCTCAAGTGGCCGATGAGCTGTCTCGTGGAAACAACGCGATCGGGCGGCAGGTTTTGATCGATCTCACAGACAATGGCCTCGAAGTGGACGGAACCTCTCATTGCTGTGATTTCTGCAACATCAGCCAGCCACTCAATGGGTCACGCTGGACGTTTGGCCACGCCAAGAACAATCTTCGCACGCGTGTCAGGTGGCACAACAGATAAGCCCGCTATTCCACATGATTCTAGGTTCACATTTCAGCAGTATGCCATGGTGTGTCACAATCACTGCACGGCAAAAGGCTGGCTGTTGCTGGAGGATGTACATCTATGGCCACGCGCAAACCAACGCACAAGCGACAAAGAGCTGGTCAAGAAGACAAGGATCCTGCGTAGTTGCCGGATCTTCTGACCGCCTCATCGCGGACAGATGATGGAAGTGGATAGCTTTTGCGGCGAAAGACGCAGCTGGATGGATCTCCCCACGGCACAGGAAGGGGCAAGAAGGTGATGAGTTGATTGCGCATACTGCAGGGAGAAAAAAAACTCAGCTTGATCCTCTGTGTTGTGATTTATCCATGTCTCGTTTGAGTTGTAAAGGGTCGAATGCAAGTTTCTTCGGCAGGGCGCCAAACGATCCTCCGACCGTCAAGCTGGATGAGAAGGGAGAAGTGAGTGGATCTAAGCAGAACGAGCACGTATAAATGCTGCGCACCCATCTGCGAGCTAAGCAAGGAAATCTGCTGACGGTTTGCCTGTAAACCCGCTGGTGCCTCTTGGCTGCAGATACCGAAAGGAAGCGCACCCTCGATGGGTGGAGCTTTCACTGAACAAGGGAAGGAGTATTAAACATATCTTCCAAGGCAGGCGATCAACGA